CTGTAAAACAAAATCGACGTTGATGTTTCTATTTGATTGACAATGGGTTCAACTGCTGTCGGTTTACATACTATTTTTCAAACAATTTCATAGACGGATTCCGTAAACCTAATATTTACACAATAGTTACAAGTATAACAATACAACGAACAAATTTTAATTCTTGTTTAGCACGAATTTTTATATTTACTATTGTTGAATTAATATTTAAATGACGAACATAATAAATTAATTTAATATAAATAAATGCAATAATTGATATTAGAATTTCATGAATACATAGATAATTTTTAAATATTTCCAATTGATAAACAAAGAATTTGTTGACATATTTGATTATTAATATCGTACGTTATTTTACCAGTAAAATATAATGGTAGACTATATAGAAATGAAAATATCCATGTACAAATGATAAGATAAGCTTGAATACGAGCTGATATCCGTTTTCGACGATATGGATAAACTACGATGATATATCTATAGACAACCTGTAACATGTATGAATAATTTTGAAGTCCTGTTGAAACAAAACCCCTATAGCCTCAAAATATACACAACGAGTCTTCATATTCGGTTTGATTGTAATCATTATAAAATGTAAATACGGCCATTACGAGAACAGTAGCACTGAATATAAATTCTGTTAAACATGAATTCGAAACGAGCAGCATTGGAACTGTTCGACAAGTTTCTTGAGTAGCAACGATGAATAGAAATAAAATAGCGAGTAAAATGGCCAGAGCACAACATACAATAAGAAAGATATCAATGGGAATAAACCAAGATTCGATAGTTATTGTTGCACATTATTCATTGAAATTTAAGAAATTTCTGCTGTCTTTTTTAAAAAGACTACTTTCGCAAACAGAATGATGATGGGAGAATTGCTGAGAAAAAAATCTGCCAGATTATTTGCTCATTATTATTTATGTCTTCCTTGTTAAACAATCTAACAGTAATTCATATGACTGTTTTTCCATTCTATCAAACAAAATATTGCTGAAGCGTTTCTTTATTATTCTCACAGAAAGATGACAAACGAAAAGATTCATATTCAGCACAACTTGTATGACATTCAAAATTCTGACCAAAGAAAGATTTATTTGATAATGAATAAAAAATGCACTTGACAGAAATTAAAATATAGAAATCGTATATATTCTATTGCATTTTGGGGACTAATTCTTTTTTTCTCGTGTATATCGGTACAAAGAGACATTTTTCAGAAAATTTTCTGTTCATAGAATATCATTTGACGTCCTGTCCTTCAATGACTCTGTGATTGACTGAAAAGAATTATCCAACCAAATTTTGCTTAATTCTGCCATAAAGTTAAATTGAATGAAGGTGAGAATGTTTTGGCATGTGTTGTCGAGTAGTCAGACTCAAGTCTCTTTTCTGTAAACCCGAGCATAAAAAATTCCGAGTTCACCTCAACATGTCGTGTTCGTTTCATATCGATATGAATGAGTATTGAAATAAAAAATTTTAAAAAATTATTTAATCTATATTTTCACCAAAATATAGTAAAACATAAAAAACGAATATTCTAATGAAAATTTTCGATAAATAAAATACAAAAGAAAAATATTGCAATATAATGTAGAAATTATCTTTTTTTATCTGTATTTTATATCAGAGATAAACACATGATTCATAGTATATTATACTTTAAAAATATAACGCCAACCAAAGAAAGAACTAAACTTCTATTAGAAAAACTTTGTCATAACACATCAATGAATGAGTCAAACAATTCTGTTATTCGACGGTAACGAACAGAAGTTAAAATATGCCAAACAAAAACAAAAAGAAATTTAATTAACTAGTAAAATGGAAGATCTCAATGAAAACTTCATTTAAATGTAACATTTACACAATTAAAATATCTAAAAACAAACCAATTTTATATTAATTATAATCATTCAATAAATGAATGATTCAAATTAAAAGTAAAATTTGGCAATAATTTCCTAGGAAAAGAAACAGAAATA